CGAGGTGGAATTGATTTTGAAATAATTTTAGCTTCAATCTAAAGACTGTGTCTATCGCAGAAAGTATTTACTTACAAACAAAGAGGTGCTTAATTCCACAAAATTGACTAGCCGCTACGTATCGTGCGACTAGGTCTATTGTTTATAGATTATAATCCATGACTGACAGGATGCGTGTCGGTCGGTACGTAATTATACTTAACAATCAGACAATAGTCCTCGTCGGAAGCATTTCCGTGGTGGTCACTAATTTTGAGTGACGGTCGGGGCCGACCGACATGGCGAACAAAGATTTTTCACATCTGATATTGGCATGTCAAATATGAAATCAAGCGCCGAGGTGGGAACACATAGCGCCGAGGTCCCAAGTGAAGCGCCGAGATTCACAGGTATAGCGCCGCGGACCTCGGCGCTAAAAAGCCCTGGGGAGAACCCTGCCGCCAACGACGAGTTCATTAATACCTGGGGTTACTCAACACTCGGGAGTTGTTTTGTAAATTACGCTATGTCAGGTGTACTCAGATGGTTATAACAATTTAAAATAACACTTTGAATGCATATACAACATATAACCTGTTAATATATGGTAACCAACGCGTGTCGTTTTGAAAACAGCGTTTTACCCGCATCTTGCAAGATAATGGAATGATTCCAATTGTGGGCCAATACAACGGCGCCATCAAGTCTAGATTGGAAAAGACCCAAGTGTTTTGCAAAGTTCCAACATATATTGCTAACTGACTGTCCGAATAATTCTCAGAACAGCTGTAATAGCATTTGCCTTGTTTATTTTGAAGTGCAAGTCAACAAATACCCCTGTTCTGTTTGCCAGTGTATTTGCAGTGGCTAATTTGCATTCCAGTACATTGTTAGCATATCAGTGTTCTCCCCAGAAATTTTCCATAGAGTCACGGCTAATTTGCATAATAATTAGCATATAATTTACATAAATAAACATATTGTTTGTCATGTGGAAAAATAAAACAAGACCAGTTTTTTCCCTTTTTTTTCTATTTATTTTATGTACAATCTGTATACAATACAGTGCACTGCATGTTTAGTATTGCAAATGTCCCGCAGAAATACTGAGTTTTCTGTTTCTTTGCTTGACCCAGCAATCAGCAACTTTATATAAGGGACGACGTCAAAAGATCGATGTCGGATAAAAAACTTATTTCCTTTAGTTTTGGGGTGGGGGGTTTAGACCTCAAAAATTTTCCATGCGACAAAAACGATTTTATTTTTTAATGAAGTCAAAAAAATCTTGGAGTATTTGTAGTTCGTTTTTTTCTATCCAATCATGAACAAAAAAAAACAGAAAATGAAAAACAAAACATCCAAGACGAGAAAATGGTAGTCTTTTTACACCCACCCGACAACCAACTGCTATGCCATACTACTGTCCGATTATCAATTTGTATTTAATGCTGAATGTAGTCTGACGCCATGATCAATATTTAGTCCCCGTTCGGACGTAGTCCGAAAACGGGGACTTATGGTTTGCCCTGTGTGCGTCCGTCCGTCCGTGCGTCCGTGCATCCGTGCGTCCGTGATCACCTGTATCTCGAACATGCATGGACCGATTAAGTTCAAACTTCACTCATACATCACACATTATATGGGACATATGCACATGCATTTTTTTCATGATCCGATTAACGATAGCCGAATAGCGGCCATTTTAAGGCCGAAAATGCATCAAAATCGCACATTTTCACCATTCCGGACCCGGATCTCAGTTATGCATGGACAGATTTTGTTTAAATTTGTTACATACATTAAACATAGTAGGACCTTGATGCACGTCTTTTTTTTTTTTGGATCGGGTTCGAAATAGCCGACTGGCGGCCATTTTGTTTTAAAGAATTCAGTTCTGGATCCGTATCTGAGACATGCTTGGATTGATCGAGTTCAAACTTCACACACACAAGGTACATCATGTCACAAATATGTATGTGCATTTGTTTCATGATCTCATTAACGATAGCCAAATGGCGGCCGCTTTAAGGTCGAAAATGCATTGAAATCGCACATTTTCACCATTCCGGACCCGGATCTCAGTTATGCATGGACGGATTTCATTCAAATTTGGTACATACATAAAC